ACTGGCCTAAGGGATTTTAAAGGGGTTTTAATTACTTTTAAATTTGACATATTTAAATATTTCGTTTTAATCAAATTTTAATTAGGTATAATATGTATAATATGTTAGTATTTTATCCAATTGTCAGCCGCCCTGAGTCCGCAAGGAGAAGGGCGGGATATAAATGTAATAAATAAATAAATAAATAAATAAATAAATAAATAAATAAATAAATAAATAAAACCAAAAGTCAGAACAAGTCTTGCCAGACTAACTCTATTGTGTTTTTAATCAAGAAACATCCTTAATAAATTGTGAGCATGTTGTGGATTCTATATCATGATTTCAGAAAAACATCTGACAAAGTATTCCATGATATTCTGATTAGCAAATTGACAAGGTCTGGATGGGTTAACAATTAAGTGGCAATATCCTTTCTATTTCTCAACATTTTTATTAAGGACTTGAAAGAAGAGATGAGAACATGCTTAACAAGCCTGCAGGACAAAACAATATAGTACAAGTAGTCCTTGACTTACAACTGTTTTAGTGACCAAAGTTACAACAGCACTGAAAAAAGTGACTTATGACCGTTTTTCACATTTATGACCATTGCAGCATCCCCATGATCACTTGAATATAAATTCAGATGCTTGGCAACTGACTCATGACAGTTGCAGTGTCCTGGGGTCATGTGATCACCTTTACCATCTTCTGACAAGCAAAGTCAATGGGGAACCCAGATTCAGTTAACAACCGTGTTACTAAATTAACAACTGCAGTGATTCACTTAACAACTGGACAGAAAGGTTGTAAAATGGGGCAATCACTTAACAACGGCCTCTTTAACATCATAAATTTTAAGCTCGATTGTGATCATAAGTTTAGGACTACCTGTATTAATAACGCCTCAAAGCCAGAAATAAAATTTAACACAATATTAATAAACAAGAAAAGTTCAAGATACTGGAATGAGTTCAGAAAGGCTACGAGAAGGATCAAAGGACTGGGAAAGTAAATTCTATGAAGAGAGACTATTTCTCTATGTTTTATTCTTTAGAAAAAAAAGACAGAAGATGAACTAGACAAGTCTCTACAAATCCCTGGAAGAACATTCCAGGACACAAATATGTATGATCTTATGTTTAAATGTAATTATCAACTGATATTTTTCAAAGATACATAGCAGAAAGATACTATCCTCAGGTTTTTGAATAGCTTAAACATTTTTTCTGTACTGTTTTGTCTTGCTCCCACTCATAAATTTATGTCACCCAATAAAATTATTCTCTTGCACTATAGTCACAAACCTATGGTTTTCCACTTTAATATGCATCTGCAATCATCTAGATGATGCTATTGGTTCCTTTATGATACCTACACGGTTTCATTCATAAACTTACAATTTCATCTCCCCATTGTCCAAGATCAGATCACCTTCATTCAGATAATTACATAATTATCAACGTTCTTTCATTCGTGTTACTCCTTAATGCTTGCTCTTTATCATTTATTCCTTGTACATTCCAAACTGCAATCTTCTGTAAGCTATAGTCATCATCAGACTCGCCCACAGACATTAATCTTTGCTGCCCACCATGGCTTTGGTCAAACAAAGCTTTCACGTTTTTAGGAATTATAGGGAAGGCATATACTAGGTTACCAGCTGAATGACTTCTTCAGGCAACCCCCGAGAATGTGTTTTTCTTCCATCTCACATAATCCACTTGCCATGCCTCAGATTAGGCAGGTAGAGACAGTCTTTACCCAGGAGTACTCCTTTGTGCTTGCTGTAGTTGGGGAGCAGGGAAGAATAAGGGTTTCCCCCTCCCCTCTTCTGCTGTCTCCCTCTTCCTCCTAGCCCATTGCTTTTGCTTCCTCTGTTCCTTTTCTTTTCAATGCATCTTCCCTTACCTCTAACATTGCTGGAAAGTACCTCAGCAAAAAACAAAGGCAAAATGGAGTTTCCCTTCTCTCTTTTTAAGGCCTACCTGGAAAAGAACTTTCTTGCTTTTGACTAGTGGTTGGCTTCCTATGTTTTATTCGTTTCTGTCCATTCTCAAGACTGACAGATCCAATTTAAATAATCTTGAAATCTTTTGTGTTTCCTTCTCACTAAAAGCTACAATTCAAAACATAGTTTCATGGACTCTGGAATGAAAATGTGATTCTATTGCAAGTTGACTTTGGGGGGGGAGTCCAAACCCAAGAACTCTTGCCTATGGTTTATACTAATTTCTAACCTTCGTTTTGGTTTCTTTTTCACTGGAGCATCTTCCTCTGATGTCCGCCGGCCTCGACCACGAGATGTTTTCTTATCCTTTGGAATTCTCCCCTCTGAAACACAAGTATTTTTCATTAAGTACATTATTTAGGAGAATAGTATGATTTTTATTTTTAAACATGTGTACTAATATTATCACAGGAGGCTTTTCTCCAATGACATTTTCAATTGAGTAATCTCATAGGTATCCAGGCAAGGAGTAAGCTTTTTTTTTAGGGCTGTCATAAGGCACTTCCTCAAGGCTACATTAATACACTTTCCTCCTCTCCAATCAAAGGAAAGCATATTGATATAAATCAAGCTGCTCCTATAGATTATTGCACCATAGCAACAGGATCAGGCACTGCCGTTACCTTGATGCTAATATGGTATAACTTCAGAACAGTGTCTGGTAGATTCCCAAATCTTTCTCTTCTCCTACCCAGCATCACCCACTGGCAGGACATCAAATACAAATTGGTGCAATGAGTAAGGCTGAGGGGTTTAATCTATAATTTTATTGCTTATTTATTTATTCTTAATTTTTATTATTCACTGCTTGCTTCTTTTAACAAACAGATTCTGCAAGAATCCTGATGATCTCTAGAACACAGTTTCTCTCAAATTGTTTCAGGGACTATTACTTCCTTGACAGATCAGGAGTCCTGTTAAAGCAGGGGTAGTCAACCTTGGCTCTTTTATGACTCGTGGACTTCAATTCCCAGAATTCCTGAGCCAGCTTAGCTGGCTCAGGAATTCTGGGAGTTGAAGTCCACGAGTCATAAAAGAGCCAAGGTTGACTACCCCTGTGTTAAAGGAAGATAGATACGTCTAGTTCCAAACAACTTCTCTTCACAAAATCTGCCTAATAGAAAGTATCAATTTGAAGTACAGGTAGTCCTTGACATGACCACAATTGAGCCCAAAATTTCCATTACAAAGCAAGACAGTCATTGAGTTTTGCCCCATTTTACAACCTTTCTTGCCACTGTTGTTAAGTGAATCACTATAGTTGTTAAGTTGGTGGCACGGTTCAGTGAGTCTGACTTCCCCATTGACTTTGCTTGACAAAAGATCGTAAAAGGTGATCACATGACCCCAGGATACAGCAATAGTCATAAATATGAGCCAGATGCCAAATGGCCAAATTTGATCATGTGACCATTGGGATGCTGCAACAACCTTAAGTATGAAAAACGGCCATAAATCACTTTTTTCAGTGCCACTGTAACTTTGAACAGTCACTAAACAAAAGTAGACATGGCAAATCAGAAAAATTGCATTCCTGGATCTTTCTCATTTTTCTCTCCCGAGGACAATTTCTCATAAATCATTTTTGGTCAAATAAATAGTTTTTTCTTTCTCCATTCCAGTATTTAAGTGTAACGATAATTATATCATCAATCATACACTTCCTCATATTCCAAGCTTCTCCATACACAAATATGTGTACACACCCCAAGGACCAAGATTGATGGCTTAGACTGATTTAAAAAATTAATTCAAGTTCTAAAGGTTCTATTATCTTAGTCACAATATCCATACTTTTTAAGGTTTGTGTCACAGGGCTTTCAAAATCACTGCCTTCCAACTTATCCTTCAAGTCAGCTTCAAATCGGGCAAGGTCAGCATCCAGCCGTCGAATGTGCTTGTCCACCTGAAACAGAGACAGATACACCACTGAGCTGAAGAAAACAAATTTTCTTAAATAGTATTTTAATTCTAATTAGACTCCTTTTCTGTAATAAAATGTTACAAGTTTGGGTATACATGTTTAGAAGGTAAAACAAGAATAGGTTTAAAGTACAAGGAAGCAGGATTTTGATTGGATATCAAGGAGAATTTCCTAATCATAACAAACCGTCTCAAGAGGCAGCACACTCTCCTTCACTGCAAGGATATAAAAATAGCCAGAATGGCTCTGATGTTATAAATAAGGGATTCTTAAACTAGAT